ACTTTCACCAGCAGGGGGCAGCGGTTAACATCTAGTGCAAAGATATTTCTGATTTCTGCTGCTTTTTTAAACGTTTAATATTTCCTTTTAACTCCACCCAAATTTCCTCAAGAGTAAATTGTGAAACAAAAATAATGATTTGTCTGGTTGACTCACTACACCATCTACTGGTGCTAATTTGCATGGCATAAAATACAGCCTGACCCTAGTTCACCTTCAGTAGGTATCTCTTCAACACAGTACAAAGATGTTTTGGATATAAAGTCTTAGCAACCATTTTTTCATATTCTTGAGCTTTAAACACTTATGCAGCTTGAAAAAAAAAAAGCCACCAAAAGTATAAAAATGGCAGTAACTCATAAACGGTTCAACACTCCTGTCAAACTCGTTGAATTAAAGTTGACATTCTGCACTTCAATCACAAGCTGTTTGGTTGATTTAAAGTCTACTTATGGAATTACATAACTGTATGTCTTCTTCTTCTTTTGGTGACTCCCTTTTAGGGGTCACTGCAGTATTCCTATCATACTCCTCTGATCCACCCACCATCAGCATGTCGTCCTTCACTACATCCATGAATCTTCTCTGAGGTTTTCGTCTTCTTCTCCTGCCTGGCAGCTCCATCCTCAGCATCCTTTGTCCAAACCTTCTCAGCCTTGTCTCTATAACTTTGTCTGTCGTCTGCCAACGTCACAGTTCACACACACTAATGCCTGACCTTACCCGTCGACCTGTCCATCGCCTCTGCAAACAAGGAACTCAGAGCACCCTCACCTTTGACCCCATCCGTCATTCCAACTCCACTGCACTCTATGTGAACTTGTGAAAAAAATACCAAAAGAAAAGCATGAACTGTTAAACTTTTTATTAAATGTGATGTTTTTAGTCTAAAGGTAATCACACAAACTGATCAGTCATCGCTCAGTGTTTCAGTTTCCCTCGGTGAGTTTATCTATTTTTTCAGTTCTTCTGACTGACTTTTTTGCTCATTTATTTAACAGGCACCACAGCGAGGAGTCACAAAATAGTGACTCTGTAGGTCAAACTGGGAGGAGATGATGTACCAGAATGCCTCATGTATTATTAATAAAGTTTAGTGTATTGATGACATATCACAGGAGGGAGAGGAATATGATATATTGCTATATCAGGGGTTCGTCCTGCTCTGGGGAAACACAGAGGTTCATAAATCTAAATCTGAGAACCCTGAAAGTGTAGACCTCCTGACTCAAACGTTACTTCAAATAGAAAAACTATTGATGCTATAAACTGTATTTGTGCAGCGGTAGAACATAAAGCAGCACCGGTGGTACCTGAGGGCTCAATAACAGTCAGTTTCCATGGTAACGGAGGCGGAATCTATCACAGATTATCGACTTTAGGTTTTGTTTTCACATGCGGATCCTGCGCTGCTCTTTCCAGAACTCGGCAATCCCCTGAGACAGAGCATACTCTGCTAGGTCCCTGCAATCACGGGGGGTGAACCCCACCAAGGCCGTGCCCTTCATGCTGACCCCCTGTCTCCCTGCCAGCTCGGCGACCCTCGCCGTGATGAGGGAAGCCGGGGCATGACAGTACGACTCGCCGCCGATGCTGAAAGACGGCCAGGGTTCACCTGCGGTGAGGTGCTCTGGCGGGGTCCCCTTCACGCTTTCCACATTACAAGCAATTTCCACAGCGCCCCCGTGTGGTAGGGCCAGCACCTGCACCCCAGGCAGGCCTCCCGGCGTCGACTCCCTGATGGCTTTGGCGATGCTGCGCCCCAAAGCGACGTCCTGGGTGTCAATTGTGACATTGCAGTTCATGACGTAGGGACTGGCCCCGACACCTGCAGGAGATCAGACGAATCGGAACTAAAGGAGCTTCTTTAAATCAATAACAACATTTTTTGCAGATTTTTATTAGTGAGACAAAAGTTGCATAGCAATCCTCTTCCTTCTGAAGTCTTATTCACATTCAGAAACAGATTGTTCTACTAGTGCTCTGCAGTCCTCAGCCCTACAAAATGGTCAGAGTGGCAGAAGCTGTACTGAAAGCTGAAGAGGAATGGACACAGCACAGTCCCCCGTGTCAGACAGAGCACTGCCC